AGCTAAATAGGAAAAAGGCATAGGTGTGCTTAGTCGCTGAGTCGTGTCTGACTCTTCTAACCCCGTGGACTGCAGCCCGCCAGGCTCCTCTGTCCGTGGGGATTCTCCAGGCAAGAATACCGGAGTGGATTGCCATGCCCTCCTCCAGCGATCTTCCCAACTCAGGGATTGAACCCAGGTATCCTTTATTGCAGGCAGATTCTTTACCAGCTGATCTACCAGGGAAGCCCATACATCAAGATTGTACTCCTTCACTTGGTTTAGCTAGTCTTCGATGTGTTTCAGCTTATTTGTTCTTATTTTAAGGTTAATAATGTTCGCTCATTGTTTGGAAAAAACTCAGCAGAGGCCACAGGACTGGAAAAGGTCAGTTTTCATTCCAATCACAAAGAAAGGCAATGCCAAAGAATGTTCAAAGTACTGCACAATTACACTCATCTCACGCGCTAGCAAAGTAATGCTCAAAATTCTCCAAGCCAGGCTTCAGCAATACATGAACTGTGAACTTCCAGATGTTCAAGCTGGATTTAGAAAAGGCAGAGGAACCAGAGATCAAATTGCCAACATCAGGTGGATCATCAAGAAAGCAAAAGAGTTCCAGAAAAACATCTACTTCTGCTTTATTGACTACTCCAAAGCCTTTGTGTAGATCACCACAAGCTGTGGAAAATTCTTAAAGAGATGGGAATACCAGACCACCTTGCCTGCCCCTTGAGAAATCTATAGGCAGGTCAAGAAGCAACAGTTAGAACTGGTTCCAAATTGGGAAAGGAGTACTTCAAGGCTGTATTTTGTCACTCTGCTTATTTAACTTATATGCAGAATACATCATGCAAAATGCTGGGCTGGATGAAGCACAAGCTGGAATCAAGAGTGCCGGGAGAAATATCAGTAAGATCAGATACACAGATGACACCACCCTTATGGCAGAAAGCAAAGAACTGAAGAGCCTCTTGTTGAAGGTGAAAAAGGAGAGTGAAAAAATTGGTTTAAAGCTCAGCATTCAGAAAACTAAGATCATGGCATCTGGTCCCATCACTTCATGGCAAGTAGATGGGGAAACAGTGGAAACAGACTATTTTTTTGCGCTCCAAAATCACTGTAGATGGTGACTGCAGCCATGAAATTAAAAGACACTTGTTCCTTGGAAGAGAAGCTATGACCAATTTAGCATATTAAAAAGCAGAGTCATTACTTTGCCAACAAAGGTCCGTCTAGTTAAAGCTGTGGTTTCTCCAGTAGTCATGTATGGATGTGAGAGTTGGACTATGAAGAAAGTTGAGCACTGAAGAATTGATGCTTTTGAATTGTGGTATTGGAGAAGACCCTTGAGAGACCCTTGGACTGCAAGGAGATCCAACCAGTCTGTCCTAAAGAAAATCAGTCCTGAATATTCATTGGAAGGACTGATGTTGAAGCTGAAACTCCAATACTTTGGCCACCTGATATGAAGAACTGACTCATTAGAAAAGACCCTGATGCTGGGCAAGATTGAAAGCAGGAGGAGAAGGGGATGAGAGAGGATGAGATGGTTGGATGGCATCACTGATTCAATGGACATGAGTTTGAGCAAACTCTGGGAGTTGGTGATGGACAGGGAAGCCTGGCGTGCTGCAACCCATGGGGTCGCAAGGAGTCAGACACGATTGAGTGACTGAACTGAACTGACTGAATGTTCACTCTGTTGAATTTCCAGAGGTATGATAAGGATCAAATTATTTCTTTTATGTCATTGAAGAGCGACAGTTGTATAGATTAAAATGTTCTTTAGAGTTCGATGTTTTATTTCATCATACTAGCATTTGGTTTTTAGTTGACGAAATTATGATTGTATTACTATTTCTCTGCTTATTTAAAAAAAGAAGTATTTTATTTCTATTTCCAAAAATTTACAGGCATTTTGATCACAAATAAAACTGAATGATTAATTCTACTCCTCAAGAATCCTGCTTTCTGAATCAGTGTGGTTTTATTTTAACAAATGTTTTTTCAGTTTAGGGTTCTGTATGGTGATCATACTCTCTAGGGTGAAACGTGTGGAAAAAGGTGGCTGACCTTGAGAAATATACAATTGCTGGGCTAGGATTCTTTCAGGGTTGAAATGGAGTAATAAAATCAGAAATCATGACACGGTTTCTAATTTCAAAGACAGACTGTCTGACCTTGCCTAAATAGTTCAGGTAGAAACCAAGAAGGAACATGGAGAAGGAAATTGAGTTCCCCTCCAGGTGATATACAGCATAACCTTAGTACATCTGGGATTTCAACATGGGCCATTCATTCACTTTAGGGTCCAGAAGATGTTTTTCTCCTGTAATTTTTATTCTTGAAACAATTCTGATGAAAAATACCTCTATACCCCCTTTACTCACACACAAATGAAAAAATCTCCCTCCCACCACCCATATTTATTCTTTGTTCTCTGTCTTCCTGAACTGGAGCCTACAATTTAAGATAAAAGAATTCTTTCTGATATGTATTTGGTTCTTTGGCTCTTTTTGAACAAGTCTTCTCTTGAAACCATGACGGGGACTTCCCAGATACCTAGACTCACCAGTATTTTGGATTCTTTGCTGCATGTTTCATACCCGAGAGGAAGGAAACGTGTATGGATTAAGGGCTTCCGTTGTGCCCAGCTTTGTCACATTTGTCAGCCATCACTTCCCAGCTGCCTTGTTCAGTGGATGATTGTTCACCCTCCATGTAGTGCTTCTTGCACCCTGGCTGCACCTTCTGTGGGCCAGGAGACAGTGCTGTGGTTTATGGCCTAAGTGAACTGTTCTCCAATCTGTCAGCATCTGCTAGGTGGAAGTTTTGAGGTGTGTTTTTGTTTTTTAGGTTGTATATAATGTACAACATCATGTAGTTTAACTGGAATATTTATTTTTAGAGGTGAAACGGTTTTATTTTAATGGCTGGGAAGAGGAGCTGAAATTGTGAAAATGTGTGATGACCTCAGGCATAGGATGAAGAACATTCTAGGTTGGTTTATATTGCCCTGATAGTGAAATCATTGCTTGGGGATTACCTGATTAAATGAGAGAGGTCTCTAATTTTATAATAATTACTATGTCAGTTTTGAGGCACTCAGGATGTGTTTTTATTTATTTATTTTTTTGGTAAGTGACTCTTCAAAATGTGGTCCTTAGGGAGATTATACATTAAACATCCAGGGTGTCTTAATGCAGCAAAGATTGTCAGGTCATTTCCAGCACAGTGAGGAATGGGGACCATGAGAGTCTTGAGCAGATGAACATGTGGCAAAGACCTCTGAGTTCCAGTCTGGATTACTTCTTTTAGCTGCATGATGGGCAAGAAGTTAACTAGTCTGAGCCTCAGCTTCCCAATCTGTAAATTGTGGGTGACGACATTTGGAGACTTAAGGGGATGGTGACTGTAAACAGCCTGGAACAGCCCCCCTACCTGGAGAAGGCCTGTATACAGGGTGGATTTAGACGTATCGTCAGTAGCTGTGTTTTTAGTAGTGAGTGAATACCCTGTATTTGAGGTACAGGATTTGGAATCAAGGAATCCAGGTCAGTAGAATCGAGTCACCTCAATGTAAGTGGATTGTTTTCTCTGTGTCCCGTTGGTATAACTGGAGTCAGGAATGGCCTGAACCTGTGAACAGAGCTGTGGACTGCGGTCTCCTCTCCTTTCTCCAACCCCTCCCTACCCCCCCTTCCCTCCTTCCCCCTCCCCCCAGGATCCTCCTCAGCTGGCCTGGAGGCAAAGGTCAGCTCCTCCAGGTGACCTGTGTCTATTTCCTGTGGTCCTGGCTTCCCCTCTCCCGTTGCCTCTGCCTCCTGTTAGAAGTGATAAAAGGAGGTGGGGCAAAGGAAGCCACCTCCCTGAAGATGGAGCCTTGTGAGGACATTTAGCTCTTCATTCCAGCTAGGCCTTGCTTCCTGCCTTCTCTAATAACCAAAGATCCTTGTCAGGAGGGTAAAAATTACAAGCATTTTTGTCATCAGAATAGTGGCAGTTATGTGTATCCATGTAAATAATAGAGGCTTTCAATAACATGTGGCAAGGATTATAATGACCTCTTGTTAGTGGCTGAACAAAGAACAGGTGGGCCTCAGGGCTCTGCATTTTCCCGACCTGCGTTTCCATATATACTCTGCTTTTTGCTCCTCTTGAAACTGGTTATTTGTAATTTTGCCACATAGTCAAACCAGGGAGGGTGGTCAGTGGAGCAATCCACAGAACATGGTTTGTAGCAAGAGCTGTGGTTTTATTTTTTTCAAATCAACCCCCCCCCCCTTTGCCTTCCCTTTAAACCATGTATGAGTCAGTTTAATCAGAAAAGGGGAAAATAGACTATGCCCTGCTGTTGCTAGGTAACCAGAAAAATAACAAACCCAGTCAGAGTTGATAATTGAAATGATTTTCCCCAGGAACCTGGCTACTCTTGCTAAGTGATTCATGGGGTGTTAACAGATTTGCATACTGGTGAGGCTTCGGGGTCTCCGTCCTTCATGTCCTTTCTCCCTGCCTCTCACACCACATCAGGAAAATCCCAGGTACATTATTTGAGTCTTCCAGTCAGTTCTTGACTTTGAGATACTCTGAGGGAAGATCCTTGCAGAGGCAAATATGGCTTATTGCACATAGCCAGAGTAGATACTGTATTTCTAGGACATTGAACCCATTTTCAAAAATACCTGGGACCCCTTTCTCAACAAGTGTAGTGTTTGATCAGCTTACAAATGGTGACAAGTCTTTATTTGTTTGACATTTTACTGGGAGTATTTTGTAAAGGTTGTTTTTTAGCCTCAAGAGACGTTCGTACACCCAACCAAAGATTTTAATGATTTTGATTAAACCACTAGGTATCTGTTTCGTTCCTTTCTCATGGGACTCCGCCATCCTCTCCGTGGCTGGCGCTGTGGGCGTGGCACTGCCCAGCCTTTGAGGGCTCTGTCTCCGGTTCATAGTGCCACCTGCCTGTGGGTCTCAGCCTGACTCCTGTGACCTGTGCTGTCTGTCTGTTGCAGATTTGAACGTCTCTCAGACTGCATACCCACCCCTCCACGACGCAAATTCACATGGCCCTCGGCTGCAGACGTTTATAGCAGAAGAAAAGCTAAGTCTACAGACAGTGACCAGACAAGACGGGGAAACTGGAAATGGAGCAGAAGAAAACATTGTTTACCTCTAATTGTGTTGTTATTTTTCCAAGTGAAACAACATACTGGCATTTTAGGGAGGTTTTTTTTTTTCCTTTCTTGATGTGTGTGACTGTCCTACTTACTTTAGGAGTAATGTTTGATATTTTGGGCAGGTTTATTTGAGGGGCATGAGTCTAATAATTAAATTATTGAAAACAACTGTGTATCATCATTAACTTATCACCTAATTTCAGATTTCTGGAGGAGAAATTGACTTTAGATAAGCAGGAACAATTTCAAAGTTATTGGAACCCTAGAGTAGAATCCCACATAATGTTTTCTGCTGGGTCATATGGTTTTTGGAATGCCTTTTAAGATCTAGATGAAGCACTTTGGATGGAAAGAGTAATATAATGGGCAAACTTTCACAATCATGGCAGCTGATTAGGGAGAGTGACCTCAGGGCTCTCAAAGGCAGAGAAAGATGTAGGGAAAATCTTTTCTTGGCTAGTCTTGGGACATCAAAGGGGTCACTCATGGTGGTGAGATGTCACGGTCACCATGCAACCAAGGAGTCCCTGTCTGGGCACCTGCCCTAACCAGCTGGCCACTCTGCCATGGACACAATCTGGACACTTAGGACCTGGCCCGGAGCCTTTTCATTTGCACTTTCTAGGTCCTAATGCCTGTGGGCTTTCAAGTCACAGTTCAGCATCCTCTTTCGACACAGCCCAGAGGCAGAGCCCCAGAAGTCAGTGTGACGTAAAACTTCAGTAACGAAATTTTACTACTGAAGTGAGGCTTTTGTAATGACCTTGCTTCCATCACCTGGCCCTGTCTCCACCAGCTCCGGAAGCACCAAGGACAGCCACTCACCCGAAGGACCTCTGCCCTGCAGGTATTCAAGGACAAAAGCTGCCCTCTTGGTGAAACTTGCTGCCTGAATGTGCTTTTCCACAAAGGAACATTGGCACATCTTGCCTTCAGGGTAATAGGAGTCTTTTGTGAGAAACCAAGAAATGTTTTCAGTTTGTTCTTCAGAAGTATTTGTATATATTTTGGTCAGTGTCAATAAATATCTTTTACCTCAGCCTTTCACTTTGAAATTTTTAAATTGTGTAGAGCCATTGTGAAATATATACATCACACTCAAACACAATCTCCCCTTATTAAAAATGAAAATAAAGGATAAATACTAAATTCACCCAGACTTTCAATACTGCTTCTGGCCATTTTAGTCACAATCATATTACATTTCAGAGACTAATTTTCACAGATGGATATGTCTTATTAAAGTTTTAATCAGTCACTTCATCTCCAAGATGACCTTCTAAATGATAAGGTGCATCTTCTATTCCTCAGACATCTTGAGAGAAAAATATCTATCTTCCCTCTCTCTCCAATAATGTCTATTCCAGAATTTCCTATCCTTTGAATAAAAATTTTATAGATATTTCAGTCTAAATCCTTGCTCCAATAACTATAAATATCTTTCCTTTTTTCCTGACAGAGGATATGGAAATAACCATATGTGAAAATAGGTAAAGATGTTCAAAATCCCCATGGAGTTCTTTAAAAATACATGTGCTCAGTTGATTTCCAAGCCCTGCAAACTATGGGACTTTGTGTAGTCACACTGGGAAAGCTTTGGCATTATTTGATATATATTCATTGGTTCATCTTGGTAATTTTTAAATTTAATATTATGATTTGTCAACTGAATCTAACTCTCAATGCTTTCTTGATAAGTTTTTCCTTTCCACTTTATCCTCACTATGTAATGAGCTCAGTTCACAGTGGAATTCACTCTGTGACTCCAGTAGTTTCACTCATCTTAGGAGAAGACTACCCTATTTCTCAGCATCATAAATAAGTTGCCCTCAAAGAACATTTCCCACCAACTGAAGATCTTAAATGAAACCTGCATCCCTTTAAAGATTTGTTGTAGAAAGAAAGCAGCATTTCTGCCCTGTCCCTTCCAAGCTTCATAAATTCATGTGCATCTCATTTGCAGTCCAAGCTTCTCTACACTTCATCAGGACTGCATAATTGTTGGAGTCCTATAACACTTTCTAGCCCACTCACAATTCAGAAAAGACTAAAATACTCGCTGCAGAGGTGGTGATGTATATAGGAAAATATAAAATGAAGAAGGTGAACAAGGTGAAATCATGGGATTACAGAAAAATGAAGTATTCCTTTCTGTGACCTAGGTAGGGCTCACTATTCAAACTTGGAATCAAACTGAAATTATTAAGGTTCAACCATCTCTGTCTTAATGAGAGAGGAATATCAATTCTGGAGTCGGATGATCCATTTCCTGGCTGTGTCCTTGGCCTATCTCTTCAACTCTCTAGGTCTTAAGCTTCCTCATTTAAAAAACTGGGATGATTACCTTATGGAATTGTGAGAATTAAATGATTATGCAATGTGCTTGTAACAGAGCCTGGGGCATAATAATCACTCAACATATTCTGGCTATTATTATCATATCACAAGCTCCTTCAATAATTGGTCAGTCCTTAGGCAGATTGTACCTGCATAGCCAGAAAGAGTGAAGGGTCAGGAGTCTGAAGATTTCCAGTAGTAAGAGTGGACTAAGGCTTCTCAAGGTTAGCTTTTGCATCTCTAAACTTCCATTCAACTTGCTCAATAAACATTGATTGTCTGAAAGGCTAAACAATCTGTTAGGAAGCAGAAAAGATGAACAAGCCTACAAACTTGAAGACAAGCACATGAAAAGAGATACACAGGTTGCTATGGTAGCTCAGAGAAAGGGGGGGTTGGGGGCCAGTAATATTTAGAAAGGGGCTTCCTGGTGGTGCAGTGGTAAAGAATTTGCCTTCAGAGCAGGAGCTGCAGGAGGCACAGGTTCGATCCCTGGGTCGGGAAGATGCCCTGGAGGAGGGCATGGCAACCCGCTCCAGTATTCTTGCTTAGAGAATCCCCATGGACGGAGGAGCCTGAGGGCTACAGCCCATAGGATCACAGAGAGTCCTGATGTGACTGAAGTGACTTAGCATGGACCATGTAGAATGCAGGAAGTTCTCCTAACGTAGAAGATGCCTGGGGCTTGACGGATAAGTAGAGTTAGAGGGTGAGGAAAAGACATTCTAGGCAAGGAGGGAAACCCAAGCAAAAGTCCAGAGGCACAAAAGAAAAGACAAATCTAACATATATTTGGAGGCACTGCAGAAGGAATTCCTCCCCTCTGGATCAAAATAGCCAGGGAAAAATCCATGTATTTTGGCCTCTTTCAAGCACTCTAGTACAAGTTGTAGGGAAACATGAACGTGTCTCTCTGAACTTGGTACTTGATCAGATGCCATAGAAAGCCACTTGATGGAGGGCTGCTGAAACACTGGGGAAATCATTATTCAAATCCATTTCACCTGCCTTCACTAATCCAGGTCATCTATAAAAAACCTGCCTGTCCTCCAAGAGGCACAAAGCCTAAACAAGAAAAGATTTGCCTAAACAAGTTGTTGTCCAGGAACTGGAGTCAGCTGTGTCTAGTTGAAGCTGAGCTGGTTAAGACTGGATAGGACCACGACCCTCCAACTGGGCATGCGTGAGTGTCTGCTCTGTGACCTTTCTTTGGCCAAGAGCTGGCAACTCCACCCTCAGTTTGTGTTAAGGGCCTCCATTTCAGAACGTGCAGAGCCCTGCAGCTCAGTTACACCTGAGCAAAACCAGGATTACCACACCTTGTTCCTATCCTTCCCCACGCTCCGCGTGTTTATTTGTTATCCTGTAAATACCGCAACTCCCCAGCACTCCGCTCTTCTGGGAGGCGCGTTTGAGATGCACTCCTCAGTCTTCTCGCTCGGCTGCCTTGAGAATCAGTTCTGTCTTTGCTGCACATCTCGGGGGTCTCAGCGATTTTTCTTGCTAAGTGCTAGCCGAAAGGAGGACACTGTCACCTCGCCCTGCCACACCCACCTCCACCATAAAGCAACTGGGTGCTGGTCAAAAGGCTACTTGGGTGTCTACCTACGGATCCTAAACCACAAGAAGCCGAAAGTAAAGGGGTTACTGGGGGCTACCTGAAGATGCTTACAGGAATAGAGGGATCCAGGAAAATGCCTGTTTCTTCTGTGGGATGAACTGAAGACTTAGATGGCTCAAAGAAGAGTTTTAAGTGGAGGAAACAGGAGCGGGGGGTGGGGGGAAAGACTCACTTTGTCGGCTTTATTTTCTTATCTCCATTTCAGTAAGGTTTTCTTAAGGTTTATATCTTTTTCTTTCCTTTGGAACACATTCCTGTTTTTTTTTTCCTTTTACCTGAGTCTGTGGGGTTTCTGCATAATATATGAAACAGCCATCTCTCCTGATCTTGAAAAATTGGTCTTGCTTAGGAGATGAAGCTTCTTGTTCAAACCTGTCCTAGCTTTTGGTTGTCTCCCAAAACTTTGGGATTGTCCAAGCAGCGTCGCTTGTTTTTAGTGGTTCCCAGTGGTGGCGATTGTGCCGAAACCTCTCAGTGTCTTAAAGGGTGGCAGGGAGCCTTAGTCAGCACCTAGATTTCAGCTGGGAGGAACCCAGACCCTCAGCCAGCAGCTTTAGAGCGTGCCAGTACTTCACAGTAAAATGTATACAGTGCTGTGGGATGCCAGCACAAGCGCAGCTGGCCAAGAGAGCCAGGCGATCTGGAGGTGTCTGCTGGATGACAGTGTAAAAACCAGGACAGCAGACAAAGGTATAAACTCCTTTCTGGGGGGATACTGGCAAGCTGGAGGCAGGCAGAGGGAGGACACGAAGATGGCATTCCTGCCTCTGCTCCCCTGGGCAGCAGCTGCAAAGACCAGGGGCAACCCAGTGGGGAATGCCTGTGCAGGGGAGCGGCTTTAGGGGGGCTGAGGGTGGGAGGAAGGAAAAAAGCATTTGCACCCCACCGACTTTAGCGAGGGAGAGGAAGAGCAAGTAAGAGGCGCCTGTCAGCACCTTCATCCCCATCCAGAAAGAGAATGGGACTCATCTCTGTAGGCTGAGGCTTTAAGATCAGCAAATGAATCTCTTTCACAGAAAGTCTGTGGGCTTTTCAAAGGGC